TAATGTAGGTCCAGGGATGAATATTAATATATCTTTCTTGTTTACGCCACCAAGTTACGTATTTCCAATCCGCTACTTTTAAAATGTATCGGATTAGTAAATTGTATATTTGTCATTTTCAGCATTAAGCATGGAAAATATATAATGTACAGTGCTATTTATTGGAGAGAATACAATATGATGATTTGTAGTGATTATCTGATTGTTGACTATTTTGAGGGAAACTGACAACAATAATGTTACGACAGACCACACACAAGTTAGATACATCAACTTTATTTATTAGTCTCCTTATTGGTGTGGATAAACATAATAAATAATACATGAACTACAAATACAACATATTTCAGTCATACCCCTCCAAATTTACACCTTCACAAGAGTAGAACAAGATTATTTCTGTCCAAGGAGAGTTATTTTCCAAGTCATCCAAGTTTAAAATGAAGCCTTCCTAACTTGTCACCAAAAATTAAAAAAAAGGTTCACGGCGGTCTGTCACTACGGTATTCTTTCCCATTGCTAGGCGCGTTCTAAAAGGTATCGGGTTACAAGACGCTATTTTGGCCTACCAGTAAAACACTTGAAACTAAACAAAAAGGATTTAATGGTAAGTTTCGTCAAATTAAAATGAAATTATTGCCTTAACATCCTTTTAATATTAGCTGTTTATGTTAAATCATTGATTTTTCAAAATTTCGCTCCGAAAGACGATTTTTTTCGGGTTTCCGACCACAAGTCATGCCATGTTTTTAGGCAAACATCGTTTTAACCTGGCTACGTATATCACCCCAGATCCCCGATTTTTACATTTTTCGACGACTAGGAATAAGATCAAAAATCGTGTTTTAGGGATTTTTTAATTTCTGATTTAAAGTCTAGTTTTTGTCGACATATTGGTGAAAAATGATATTTTTACATTTTTCGCACTAAATTACCCATAATTCAAAATTGAGGCCATTTTTCAAAAATCCCTAAAACACGATTTTCGGGACAATCGTGACAGTCATTTTGAGCCGTGAATTGGGTATGCTTGACTCGCCATGCTTGCAGGTTAAAACGAGTTTTGCAGACGTGTCATGTCGACCAAAAGTCTGCATTGTGTTATTCATACTGGTGTAAAGAATCATTACAGTATTCAAGGTCACCCAAGGATACGACAGTAGCTTCGCTACATGTTACAGATCCACAAAAAAATGATAGCGGGCATGTATTGTCCAGGAAACTGTTTGTATCTATAGAAAAGTGTTGTTTTTTTATCTGTTGCAAGGCACGGGGGCAGAAAGGCTTGTTTTGCCGCTTTATTGTAAATGACCGCAGGTGACCCCGAAATAGAACGCAGGTTCGATTCGAATTGCCCAGATCGAACACAGTTCGGGTTCTATGACATGTGGAAACTTTGCAGCCCAGATTTTACCACCGTGGTTGTTTCCACTAGTCAAGAATGGACTTTTCCATCTGCCTCATGTCCGAAAACATTTCCGGAAAAATATGGACATTTTGTGTAATCAGCCCTGTCCAATATTTAATTAAAAAGATTCCCCTTTTTCAATAATGAATTTTTCCAGTGAATTAAAAAAAGAAGAAACATCAGTAAAAAAACAATAATTTTTGCCATACCATGGTATGGCAAATATATTAGATAAATGATACTTCGTAGATGTTTACATACAACAACACTAAAAATTGAATCACCAGTGATGAAAAGTTACAGGTTCTGAAATTGTTACTAATACTTAAAAAATCAAACACTGTAAGGATTACAGCCGATATTACTGGACAGGTGTAAAGGTGAAAAAAATCATGTGTTTTGATGCCTGCTGAGGTGACATCACTTTTTAAACAATCTTTTAGACTTTCTTCAGTAGATTACTCTGCTACTAGAGTTCCAGACTTAGGCCATCCATAATTATACATTGTATGCTGTACAGTAAACACATAACAACAAAACACTCTTCCCCTGTTTTTCTTAGCACAATCATTCATAGAATCAAAGTTGGAACAACCATTCAAGTGAAACATTGCAAAATACTACCATGACGCCATCAATAATAAAAAAGATACAAATTCTGAAATAGTTATTACCACGATTTTTAAGATTTCAAACTACGACTCTTTTTAAAACAGACTCAGCATTAATGCCTTTAAAATGAAACTTTACATATTTATACTTTCTGCAGTACATTGCTCTGCTACCAGAGTTCCAAACTGAGATAGTCCATGATTATACATTGTATATTTTACACAGAATGACAAAACATAGTCATTAATGTAGAAACAACTATTAAAACTGATATTCGAAAATACAACCATGAACGTCATCCTAAAATAAAAGTTACAGATTCTGACATAGTTTCAATACTTCAAGTGTTACAACAAGTGTTACAATACTTCAAATTTAAAAGGAAAAAGTACAGCTAAATTCAATAATAATACCACTGGTTCAAAATCTCATTCATTTTGAAAACGCGGATTGATGCCTTTAAAATGAAACTTTAACAACTTGTACACTTTCTGCGGTACATTGCTCTGCTACCAGAGTTCCAGACTGAGATAACTTCCATGATTATGCATTGTATACTTTACACAGAATACTAAAACAATCTTTCCCTATTTTTGATAGAGCAATTATTAAAGTTGTAACAGCTATTAAAGTGAAAATTTGCAAGATACTACCAAACCATCATTATCAAAAGGTAAAGATTCTGAAATAGTTATAACCACAATTGTTACAATATTTCAAATTCAAAATGAAAAAGTACAGCTGATACCACTGGTGCAAAATCTCATTCATTAAAAAAAACTACAGCATTGATGTCTTCAAAATGAAACTTTACATCTGTACACTTTCTGCAGTACATTACTTTGCTACTAGAGTTCCAGACGTATATAGTCCATAATTATACATTGTATATCTTACACAGAATGACAAAACACTTTTTCCTTGTTCTTGGTAGGGCAACCATTGAAGTTTAAAAAAAACTATTAAAGTTGATATTCGAAAAATACGACATCATCCTTAATAAAAGTTACTGATTCTGACATAGTTATAACCACAAGTGTTACAATACTTCAAATTTAAAAGGACAAAGTACAGCTAATACCACTGGTGCAAAATCTCATTCATTAAAAAAAATTCAGCATTGATGTCTTAACAACTAAACTTAACAACTTATATACTTTCTGCAGTACATTGCTCTCCTACTAGAGTTCCAGACTTCAGGCAACACACTTCTTTTGAAGCTTCATCAATGACTATTATAATTTGTATATTCGATAGTTTCTGCAGTCGTGCATGGCATTACATGACTTGCTCTGCTACTAGATATTTCCAAACTCAGATTGTTCATACTTACACAGAGACTGTCTCTGTTAAGGTAATGGGTAGTAAGGACGTTTATGCGGTGAAGACGACGATGACGAAAGACGTTTAATCGTTACTACACAATGTGAATAGTTACATTTAACACATGTTCTTGTGTTCAAGACTTACAACTTAAGCTCCATGCGGTTCTCACAATGAAATTTGCGAGCTACTGTTAAAATTCAAACATACAATGTAGCTTTTAGTTAAGTCTTAAGAAAAAAATAACTTACAAGGTCACAAGTCATTCCCCAAGAATCTTAGACATATCATCTAGAACACCACAACAACTGTATGCCTACACAATCAACCAACTAACCAACTGACAGCTAAAGTAATAAGGTACATATTTCATTTATCTCATCCTGAATTTTGGCTCTAGGTGCCAATTGGAGACGTTTTTATTTTTCCTTTGTTTCTTTCTACAGGGTTTCTACATTTGGATGAGGAGAAGTTACCTTCAGTGTTGGTCTAAGACTGACCCTGTCCTGTCTGATCCTGACCGCTGGTCATTACAGTAGCTGTTTTGTACACAGAATTGATCTGCGAGTCAGTCGGCCGTGTGCCATAAGACAGATTTCTAGCATCGATGGATTCAGTGATCGCCTGATATTGACCCTGCCCTTCCTGATTGGTCATTACGACAGCTGTGGTGTTTGTGTTTGCTTTGATTATGGGCTGATACTGACTCTGTCCTGTCCGGCCATGGCCACTAGCCATTACAGTAGCTGTGGTGTTTGTGTTTGCTTTGATTAGGGGCTGATACTGGTCCTGTCCTGTCCGGCCATGGCCACTAGCCATTACAGTAGCTGTGGTGTTTGTGTTTGCTTTGATTAGGGACTGATACTGGTCCTGTCCTGTCCGGCCATGGCCACTAGCCATTACAGTAGCTGTGGTGTTTGTGTTTGCTTTGATTAGGGACTGATACTGGTCCTGTCCTGTCCGGCCATGGCCACTAGCCATTACAGTAGCTGTGGTGTTTGTGTCAGACTCAGTGTTGGCCTGAGACTGACCCTGCCCTGTCTGATCATCACCACTGGCCATTACAGTAGCTTTGGGGGTTGTGTTGGATTCAGGGATAGCCTGAGACTGACCCTGCCCTGTCTTAACACGTGGTTTATCAATATCTTCATATTCGTAATCATCACCACTGGCCATTACAGAAACTGCTGCGTTACCTGTAGCTGCATACATAGGATTTGGCTTTGAGGCAGCTAGCACTTGGTTATGGGATAGATTTCCAATGTTCAGAGATTGCATGTTAGCCTGGCCCTGTCTATTCTGAACACCTAGTTTATCAGTATCCTCATGATCATCATTACTGACCGATACAGTAACTGCTGTGTTTGTGTTGCCACCAACAACATTGGGATTTAACCCTAAAGGGTGACGCCTGCTCTTTATCTTGTACCACACTGTAAAACTGATGGCGCCAATCAGGACAATTCCAATAACTGGACCACAGACTGAACCTATGAGAACAGGTATTGGGAAACTGGGAACAGATTCTGGTTTGCCTGGAGTGATTGCAAGGGGCGAAGTTAGTGTTGCTCTTGTTTTGCCTGCGGAATCTGATATTGGGGCAGCATTGACCTTAAAGTACCAGTGATAGTGAGAGTTGTGTGAGATTAAGTGGATATCAGCTATCCGTGTTGATGCGGTCGGCTGGGGGGAACTGGGAGCAGATTCTGGCTTGTCTGAAGTGATTTCATAGGGCGAAGTTAGCGTTGCTCTTTTTTTGCTTGTGTTTTCTGCAGGGTTAACTGTTGAGACAGCGGTGGCTTTAAAGACTGATGGGCTAGTATTGCTTTCCGTGATAGTAGCTAAAGGTGTTGACACTGCAGCAGAACAGCTATCAACAGTTAGTGGTGATATGGTTGGCTCTTTACATATCAATTCTTTTGGATCGACATTTGCAAGCTTCTGTCCCCGAACTTTGCCGGGTTGGGCGCACGTTATGCTGTTTTTTAATTGGGGAATCAGCCTGATGGGAATCATCATACAGTCACACTGCCAGGGGTTCCCGTCAAGATTAAGGTATATTCTGATATGAGATTGGAACAAGCAGAAAACTGACGGGGGAATGGCCGTCATCTTGTTGTTCTGAAGTTTCAAATTAAATGAAAAAAAAAGTGACAGATTTTTAAATGCACCAGAATGGATGGTAGTTATCCGGTTGTTGTTCAGGTACAAGTATATTAGCTTGGGAAGATTTGCAAATGCACCAGAAGGGATGGTAGTTATCTGGTTGTTGTTCAGGTACAACCATTTTAGCTCGGGCAGATTTGCAAATGCACTAGAAGGGATGGTAGTTATCTGGTTGTTGTTCAGGTACAACCATTTTAGCTCGGGTAGATTTGCAAATGCACTAGAAGGGATGGTAGTTATCTGGTTGTTGTTCAGGTACAACCATTTTAGCTCGGGCAGATTTGCAAATGCACTAGAAGGGATGGTAGTTATCTGGTTGTTGTACAGCCCCAAGATTGTTAGCTGGGGTAGATTTGAAAATATGCCAGAATGGACGGTAGTTATCTGGTTGTATTTCAGTTCCAATTTCTGTAGCTTGGGCAGATTTGCAAATATACCAGAAGGGATGGTAGTTATCTGGTTTTTGTCCAGGGCCAACCTTTGTAGATGGGGCAGTTTTGCAAATGTACCAAAAGGGAAGATAGCGATCTGGTTGACGCTCAGGCCCAACCCTTGTAGCTGTGTCAGATTTGCAAATGCACCAGAATCGATGGTAGTTATCTGGTTCGATCTGAGATACAACTTTTTTAGCTCGGGCAGATTTCTAAATGCACCAGAATGGATGGTAGTTATCTGGTTTCCTCGAAGGAATAAATATTGTAGCTCTGGCAGATTAGCAAATGTACCAGAATGGATGGTAGTTATCTGGCTGTATTCCAGGGACAACTCTTGTAGCTTGGGCAGATTGGTGAATGCACCAGAATGGATGGTAGTTATCTGGTTGTAGGACAGGGACAACTTTTGTAGCTGGGGCAGATTAGTAAATGCACCAGAATGGATGGTACTTATCTGGTTTCTTTGAAGGAATAAATTTTGTAGCTCTGGCAGATTAGCAAATGTACCAGAAGGGATGGTAGTTATCTGGTTGTCTTCCAGGGGCAACTCTTGTAGCTTGGGCAGATTGGTGAATGCACCAGAATGGATGGTAGTTATCTGGTTCAATCTGAGAGACAACCTTTTTAGCTCGGGTAGATTTCCAAATGCACCAGAATGGATGGTAGTTATCTGGTTTCTTCGAAGGAATAAATATTGTAGCTCTGACAGATTAGCAAATGTACCAGAAGGGATGGTAGTTATATTGTTGTTATTCAGGCACAACTCAGATAAATTCTTATACCGTAATAGCTCAGACTGCTTTACACATGTAATGCTGTTATATCTTAAATCTAACAAAGAAATGGATGTTGGGAGTTTCTGAGGGATACTGGTGAGGCCCTTTCTGCAGTGCTGTGATGATGGTTTACAGTCGCAATCAGCAAATGTTTCACATTTGCAGTTACCTAATGAATCCGGCATGTTGGGCTCCTTCAGGATGATGAGAAGGAAAACCAGCACGTGTCGCAGCTTTCTGCCCATGGTGTCCTGCCACCTAAACAGAACGGCAAGCTCCTCAGTAAGGCCACTCCAACTTAATGTTGGACCTCGAATTTTAAAGTAAAAATGATAACTTAAATATAAACATAAGGTCCCAGGATAAAATCTTGGTTTGTACAAGAGAAGAATTTTGTTACACTCCAATTGTCTTCTCATGACTTGGGTTTGCCCTCTTGGTAAGTCATAAATTCCTCTAAAATGTCATAGAACAAAAAATTAGGTTGGAGTGGCCTTAGAAAATCAATGATTTTAGAACACCTCTAGGTGTCCAGTGTGACTTCGTTTTGCATGCCCCTTGTTTTCTGCTAAGTATATATGTGGGATTGAGAGAGTGACAGGATGCCTTTGGGGTTAGGCTTTGGGTTGTTGACTTAGAATCTGAAGGTTCTGGGTTCGAATCCCTGCAAAGATATAATGCATATATCACCATTAGAGTACAGCGTATTTTAGATTTGTCTCTGGGACCCGTGTTGATGATAACTCCCGATAATGAAAAATACGCATCCCCGTCACATAAAAGATTCTGACAGCCCCGCCCGAAAAAAAAAACAGCCCGTAAACTACCCGGCGGGGCCCCTGTTTCCAGTTGTTATGGTATGTACCTGTTAATTGTCTGAGACTTGCTGCTTGAATATTGATATTGTGTCCTCCTTCTTGTGGCCCTATTTGGACCTCCCAGACAAGGAAGAAATACCAACAGAAGACTAAAAATGTTGTATACTTTACTACCATTTCTGAAATATCATGAAAAATTAGCCATTGTAAGACTGTGTTCTTCAGGTACGTGCACTTCACTGAATAATGCAATTTCAGAAAAACTCCTGGTTGATCTAGCCAAATAAGCTATGTTGCCGTGTTCATTTTGGAAAGCCTTGTCATGGCAAAATGGTCGTAACATCAAGCCTTTAAAACATTTAAACAGACTGTGGCTTAGCAAAGTCATGATGGTTTATCTGTAGCGCAAATTTTGCCAGTAGTGCCACGTCACTACAATACAATATGAATATAAATATGAATAAAACAATATAAATAAAACAACCATGGCGCAGCGCCCCCGTTGCCCCCGTTAGAACTAACATTTTCCCTAGCAGATATTATGATTGAAGTTATTTAATATTTTCTGACGTCCTGACTTTTTTGACAGCTATCTACCACTGTCTTCAGTAAAAACAACAAACCTTCCGTCATATCTCCTTATATAGAGAATCAAAATCTGATTGCCAGCCTTACCTATATGGCCGTAGGCCAGTGGCAAACTGCATACAAGGCACTTTACCTTAATTGTTTATTCACTCACAGACACATACCTTTTAAATAGGTCAGAAAAGTTTCAGTTGACACTTTTTTGACAGAGACTTGGGCACAGGTTGTTCTTGTTCTTGTAGGGTGTGTCAGCCTCCTTCTGTAGCTGATCCGAAATGGCGTGTGACAAACAACCCAGGATCGGTCTTACGTAAATGGTGGAGTTAATTGTCTGAAGCTGGCTATTTGAATAACATTAATATCTATGATTACGATGAAATTTCTATTTATGATGCAGGTCCAGAGATGCATATTTACTTGTTTTCGTAACCTGTTACGTATTACCAAGCCGCTACTTTAAAATGTATGGAATTGTTGACTTGTATATTGGAAATTTTCTGCAATTAACCCTATCTAGACCGGGCTTTTTTTTGGCTTGGTGGGACCGGGCATATTTAAGCTGTCCGCCATTTTGGATCATCAATGTTGAATTTTCAAAATTAGTTTTTTTTTTAGGATAAAGCCTAAATTACATCGTAAACAGACTAAAGACGTTCGTATGAACCTTTTTTGTAAAAAGAAATGGAAGTATTGATGAAATTGTAAGGAAAATAACCTGTATATACCTGTTTTTATGATATGGTCCGCCATCTTGGATTTTGGCCGATGACGTCATCAAATTAGCATAAATTATGCATTTTTAATTATAAAATGTACATAAAATTATTTGGGATGTTATTAGTATTAGAAACCATGTGTAACTTGACATAAAACCCATAAAATTCTATTGTCGAAACTAAAATTACTAAATTTAGCAAATTGCATCCATCAATCCACAAAACTAAACAATTGTTTTGAGGCAAATCCTACAAAATCCACGAAAATAAGCATTTGTTTTGAAGTAAATCCTACGCTACCTCTGTGTAGTCTTCCTTCCTCTCCGGCCCATCATTTGATTTGATTTGATTTATTGAGATTTCAAACAAATACAATACTCGATGAGCCACAGGCAGCGGGGGCTGGTGTTGTGGCCCACACTCAAAACAATTATAACTTACATATAATCACACGCAAACAAGACACACATTTAAACCTAAACAATATAAGTATATGAAAATTACAATCTAGAATCAGCATAGATTAGAATATATCAATCTAATATCTATCAGTCCATTTACTACTTGGTACAGTTCATGCGGTTCCTAGCCGCCAGAATGTTCTCGTGTCTTAGGCCACGTCTCCGGGTCGACTGAATCTTCTGCTGTGTGAGCAGGTGGGTCGTGCACATGTTCTTGACCACACTAATGCTACGGGCCTCTTAAACAGGCTGAGGCAGCTGGTTCCACAGCCGTGACGCACATGGCAGAAAGCTGGCCTGGTCCTGTATATGAGGACGAAGACGAGGGGGACTTGCTTGTAGTCTCTGTCTTGCCGGATGAACGCGTGCACACCGAAGAGCTGCGTGAGCAGGGCGGCATCACGGCAAAGAACGTCCCGTCACAATACCAGGTCTTGGTCATTGGTAAAGACCAGGTGTCTTTTCCCCCTGACCCACACATCCGCGCGTATCCGCCTGGGATGTAGTCCCGATTCAACTCGAAAGTCTTACAATATAATATTCAACTTCTACAAGTCCAAATCTAAAGTAGTTTCATTGACTGAAAAATAATTCATTAGACAATAATAAAGCTCATGTACATTAAAATAAACTTCAACACAATGTCTTACCTTTAAGGAACCTTTTGTATTCTGTATGAAAACAATCTAATACATTTTAGCTCCATGTGTCCCGTGAAGAAATATCAGTTACAGCTCCTAAGGTCTTTAATTTCTCTATGTTGATGTTCGATGACTGTATTCATCTTTTCCAACTGGGACTTTAGTTTCTTCTCCATTTCCCTGAATGTTTTTAAACTAACAGTCGGCTCGGCATAGCTGGTCGATGGCCCAACACCTGACTGGGGAGGTTGGAAATGGTGACTTGTGGAGACTGGTGACATATGGTACGTTGAAGGTGTGGGGTGTGCCAATGGAGAAAAAAACGGCAGGATTTGCATAAGGCCTTGGAGGAAACTGATACATTGGCGACGGGAAATATGGGCTGGCAGGGTGGTTGGACGAATGCCTTCTGCTTGGAGTGTTGACTACATCTTCCTCTTCCAACCGCGGACTACAATGTATATAAAAAATTGAAAATAACTAGAAAGGCCAATATTTGCTTTGGAGCAAATACAGCGATGGGTTCACCACATTTTACCACAAGGCAGGGAAAGAATGAGAAACACAAGGGAAAACAATGATTTACCAGGAGCTTTTAAAAATTTAAGCTTAAAAAGCAGCCATTTGAGGGATACCCAAAGGGAAAAAATGTCATTTCTAAGGTATGTACAATGTATCCTTGATTAGTAATTTTTATATTTTTGCAGCTTGGAATCTTCACAAAATACAGAAGATACTCCAAATCAGACACAACCAAGAACAGACTCTGAGATAAATTAAATGTTAAACGTAGCATCTGGTGTGCAAAGTTGTAATATTCTACATGCAAAAAAAGTAACTATACGTCTGTTTTGCCTGCTAATAGTGTCTCATTTGACCATGCAACGGTTTTGACATAGGCAGCCTCTGGATCATACTGTTTCCTTTGGAAGAACTGCCACACAGCATGGGAGAGGAGGCGCTCGGCATCTCCAACAGACTGCTTTCGGATTCCCACAAGTGCTGCGTACGTGAGGTCGGTTTCGCTGGACGTCATCGCTTCGTCAAACCGTCGCACGTCAATTTCGGTGTGACCTCCGTCTCGTGTATGCTTGTTTTATTTTTACCAGGAAAATGGTCGCAGCGACGGTATACTGGGGATTCCCCTGGATCACTTTGATGGGTCAGGTCCTGGGGGACTATTGCGCTTGCCCTGCGGTGACTTTCCCGCGGCAGTTACAATTACAAGCAGTCCAGTTCTGATATGCATTCAGTTTGGTGTGTCCGCTCACTAGCTGATTAATGAATCGGGGTCGGCCCTATGTTACGACAGCCCTATGTTTTGACGCCCCCTTTTTTCAACGTGATTATGGCTATGTTCAGACACCAAATGATAAATTGTAAATTTATTGAGTGTAATGATCTCGAAGGAAATTTTCACGTAATATATTGTCACTGAAAGAAGAAAAAAACATCAATACTTTCCTTGTAGGATCGTTAGTTTTATGGGAATATAACAACTTAACGCTCTGCGACATTGACATCCAGCCCGAGTCTAAAACATAAACAAAAACAAACAACGCAGATCTAGTCGGGTAGGTAGGGCTTTTTATTCTACGTTTGTGTCACATCCTCCAAAAACACCCTCGATCCATACAAAAATATCTCTTAAAAGATGTATCCCAAACAGCGTCGAACAAACCAACACAAACCCCACTCAAACCTGGAATGAAGGTCAGCAACATTTAAAAAGAAAGTTTGAAATCAACACTATGGCGGGTTTATTTTGTAACTTTTTTTGTACTTATTATGTAAGATAAAACATAAGTTTGAAATCAACACTATGGCGGGTTTACCTGAACACTCCCGAAGGATCTCTTGTACAAAACAACATATTATGTAAGATAAAACATAAGTTTGAAATCATCTTTACCTGAACACTCCCGAAGGATCTCTTGTACAAAACTACATATTATGTAAGATAAAACATAAGTTTGAAATCAACACTTTGGTGGGTTTACCTGAACACTCCCGAAGGATCT